AGGACCCCTGTAATTCGAAGACCAGCAGCCCTCTTCTTCTCCTACACATACAAAGCAGCCATAGCGGAGAACAAAGGACCACCCTTCTAGCGCTAACTCCTTCTTCGTCTAACAACTGAAATCAGCGACCATTTCCACCACAGCTAGAGCTTATTACACGAGAGATCTGGCGAGTTTCGAGGTCTGGTCGTAATTCCGTTGAGGTCTCCGGTCGCCGACTTTTACTTGTATTTCCAGACAGAAATCGTTAAAGGCCATGGAAGGTACAACGTTTCTGTGATCTTCTTCTTAGATATGTGATGAATTTGCAGCGTTTTTGTGGTTTGTAATGTTGTTAAACGAAGTAATTCCAGTTGTGAGTACAATCTTCATTAACTCTATATTCTAATGGCTACTTAATAACTTTAATCTCTTTCAAGATTTCTGTTCGCTTTTTGTTATTTGTTTTCTATCCCTTTTACTATCATTCTTCTTTTATGTCATTTTTGGGTTTATCATTTGGTCTTTTTTTTAAAATAAATTCATTAGGAGTAGGATGAATTTAATGGCAATATTACAAAAGGCACGTGAGGGTAGTAATTAGTAAAGTGTACGAAATGTGCATGCACTAAAAGAAAGAGAAAGTTTACCGCCCTTGAAATCGTTACTGCCTTGCTTGTCGTGTCCAAGTGAATTTAAATGAATTTGTGTTTGTCTGTTTGGTCTATATTTTCCATGAATTTGTTTCATATGAATGGCTTTGTATCTGGGTCATGGGAGTTGAATTTAGTTTTTGTCAAGTTAATTTTGCTCTTAAAGTGTGTAGGTTTATCTTAAATAGTGTAATTAATTTTCAGCTTTATGTGTAGGAGAAGAATAAACACGATCGAAATCCTTTTCTTTTGGGAGGCGCAGTTTTCTTGGGGTCTAGGTTCTTAGCTAGGCCTTAGGTCTAGGAAAAGAAGAGGGCTCTAGGTCTTTTTTATGGAAATACATCAAAACTAGTTAAAAATCACTAAATAATAAATTAGGGATGAAAATATTTTCAAAATCACCTCTAGGTCAAGCTCTAGCCTTCAAAAATGGTGAAAAATGGTCAAATCCCGACTTTCAACACTTTAAATACCTGGGCGTCAGGTGTTCTTCGCACTCGTGAAGAACCAGACGCATTCGCGAAGAGCACTAGCCAACCATCGCGTTCGCGAGGTCCTCTTCGCATTCACGAAGGCTAAATTCCCATCCTGCCTTCACGTTCGTGAACCCTAGTCGGCATGCGCAAGAGAAACCACCCTCCTTTCCCCTAGATCACCCCAAGGCATCGCATTAGCGAGATGTCTGTCGCGTTAGCGAAGGATAAGCCCCCCATTGCTTCTCATTCTCTAATAGCAACCATCCCTAGCCCAAGTTTCCCCTCCGCAATCGCAAGAGAAACTTCGCAATCAAGAAGCAGAATGCACCAGACACTAGAAACAACAATTTTACAAGTTCAAAAATGGTCCGAAGCCTATCTGAAACTCACCCGAGCCCCTTAGGCTCCAAACCAAACATGCACATAAGTGTAATAAGATCATACAAACTCACGCGACTGATCAAAACACAAAAATAACATCCAAAACCATGAATCAGATATCAAAATGTATGAAATTCAAAAGAAAACTCAAGAACCTCTAAAATCACAACCAAGCGTCTGAATCCTATCAAACCAACTTCGAATTGCACCAATTTTTGCAGACAAATTTCAAATATCAAGATGGACCTATTCCATGTTCCAAAACCAAAATCCAAACCTGATAACGACACAGTCAACCTACTATGAAACCTACGAAATTTCCAACATTCAAATTGCTAACTTTCGACAAAACAAGTCAAATTAACCTAGGGACCTCTGAATTAAATTTTGAGCATATCGCCAAGTACAAAATCACAAAATAGACCTACTAGAATCATCAAAACACCAATTCGGGGTCGTTTACTAAAAATGTTGGCCATATTCAGCTCAAGTTATCTTTAAGGCCAAAAATCATATTTTCTACAACTTTTTACGTAAAAACTTGCTGGCAAACAACCTGGGCTGTGCACGCATATCAAGAAATATAAAATAAAGCTAATAGAGGTCTCGAAATATGAAAATAAGTGCTAATATTCAAAATGACCTATTGGTCATCATAATTATTTATACTCTATGGAAAGACGTGTACATGAGGTGACGAGTGTGTACAGGAGCTTATGTATGTAATTGACCGGATTAGATTCTTAGGCTATTCATATGACTTGGTTTGAAGTTGTTGTTAGATTAAACACGTTTCACTATTGATTCACTCATCGTACCTTGTGTTGTTGTTGAAATTCTTGTATACATTATTTTGAGAGCTGGGCTATGTATTATGGTGGCATTGGTATTGTTGTTTGGTCAATGTTGTGGAACATGTGCACGTGTGGTGCAGTTGGTTATTGTGTTATGATTGAGATGCGCATTTGGTGACATAAGGGTGGTGTGTATATCGATGTGCATGCGGCGAGATAAGGGGGCTTATGCGTGTGGTGCAAGTAAGGAGAAATACTTCATTGTGATGCTCACGCGGAGAGATAAGGGGGCTTATGGCACGTGAAGCTATTTAGGGAAAAATGTTTTAAATGTGAAGATCACGCGTCGTCATAAAGGGGATTTGTGACTATGATATTTGCAACTTTGGGGTGTTCTTGATGTTACTCTTTTGTTGGAACAACTTGATGAATTGAGCATATAATTGTATCCCTTAAATGATTTTGCTTCGGTTTTACATGCTTTGGTAAATTATACTGTGTTTCCACTTGCATGTTCTTTGTTGCTATTTAATTGGATATGCTTCTCGTTGTTCGTTTTATATTTATATTCTACTCAGGTTATTGTCTAGTGAGTTTCTTGACTTGAACCTCGTCACTACTCTACCGAGGTTAGTCTTGATACATACTGGATACTATTGTGGTGTACTCACACTACACTTTTGCATATTTTTGTGCAGATCCAGGTACCTTAGAGAGAGTTGGCCGTTAGTGAGGTGATTATTAAAGTTGTTGTGGAGACTTCAAGGTACACCTGCATGTCTGCTCACAGGCCTCGGAGTAACCTTCTATTTCTCTTTTGCTACTGTTTATTTTATTCCCAAATAGTGTTGTATTTGGAGATTCCTAGTGTACTTTCAGTAGAGCTTATGACTCCGTACTACCGGTTTTGGGATGTATGACTGTTGATCATTATGTCTATGTTATGGCATATTCTAGTTTATATTTAACGGTTAAGTTGTTTAATTCTATTATTATAATCATGTGTTAGGCTTACCTAGTTTTAAAGACTAGATGCCATCACCATCCTCAAGGTGGATTTTGGGGTCGCGACACTAGTGGGATCAATTTCTTCCATTAGTAGAGTTTGTGTACAAAAGCTATCAGTGGATCATTCAGATGGCTTCGTATGAGGCATTATATGGGAGGCGATGTCATTCTTTGGTTGGTTGGTTTGAGACTGGCGAGGCTAGGATATTAGGCACAAATTTTGTTCATGATAGTGTAACGACCTGACCGGTTGTTTTGAGCATTTGCATTTCCTTCAATGGTTTGAGGGCATGAGTAGCTTTGTATGATGTATTATGACTTGTTTGTATCGTCGGTTTTGCTTTTTAGGTTATTCGGAATTGAATTGGAAGAATGATTATCATTTTGAAAGTTTTAAGTTAGAAGAATTGGCCGAGTTTGACTTTTATTAATTTGACCCCAGATTAGAGTTTTGATTATTTCGCTATGTCTGGATGGTGATTTTGGACTTGGGCATATGCCCAAATTTCAATTGAATGTTTCTAGAAGGTCTCGGCACTATTTGGCGAAAGTTAGCTATTTAAAGGCTTGGAAAGTTCATAGGTTTGATTTGGAGTTGAATTCAATATTATTGGGTTCAGATTGGTGTTACAGGGGTTGAAATAGGTTCAATATGTCATTTGGAACTTTTATGAAAATTTTGGATTCATTCCGGATTGGTTAGGCTTGAATCGGACGTTTGGTTTGAAGTTTGTGAACTTAAGAGATTGATCTTGATCGATGATTCGTAGTTTTGATGTTATTATGTGTAATTTGATGCCTCTAGTAGGTCCGTGTTATGCATTGGGACTTGTTGGCATGTTCGGACGGGGTCCTGAGGGGCTCGAGGTGAGTTTCAAACAAGTTTCGAAACATTTTGGCTCGACTGGTTTCTGCTATTTTTTGGTGCTTCACTTGTTCTTTGCGATTGTGAATATGAAGCCGTGATCGCATATTGTTAGTAACTAGCATTCTTGGCGTTCGCGTCCAGGTCTCTTCGTTTGCGAAATGTTAAGATGGGTTGGGCATTCTCGATAAGTTCTTTTTCACGTTCGCGCATGTTGAACCGCATTCGCGAAGGTCTGACAGAGATATTCATCACGGTTGTGAGGGGGAGTGCCGTGAATGCTTAGAGGAAATTGTGGCAGTATATTTTTTGCATCGCGATCATGAAGTACAACCGCGATCATGTAAGAGGACAACCTGTACAGATTTTGGTGAAAATTTATCATGAAGATTAGGTTTTTTGGCACAACAAAGACAACCTATTGTCCTCATGTGATCAAGTTTGGGAGAAGAACCATGAAATAGTTCATAGGGAGATTTCCCATGTAAAACATTGCTAGGCAATCTATTAATGATATAGGTAGTTGATAAATTACAGTCACCCCAGAGTTTCAATGGGAGTGCAGCATGAAATCTCAGGGCATTACCTAATTCAAGGAGGTGTCTATGCTTCCTTCTACAACTCCATTTTGTTAAGGGGTGTAGACACAACTGCTTTGATGGATAATTCATTTGGCTTTAAACAGAGTAGAACAAAGAGAATTAAAAAAAATTCATAGCCATTGCCGAATCAAAAAGTCTTGATAGCAGAAGAAAACCTATTTTCTACTAAGCGAAGGAAATTGGACAGAACTACATACACATCACTTTTCATTCTCAAGAGAAAAGTCCAAGTCATCCTCGAATAATCATCAACAAGAGTAAGAAAGTATATATTGCCATTGTAGGTACACAGTACACACTCTACAAGAACCTCATACATTCATGTGAACAAGTTCAAATGTACAACTTGATTTTGAAGTACTAGTAGGAAAATGTAACCTAATTTGCTTAGCTAGTGAAGAAACATGACAGTTGCATGTATCTGAACTAGAAAACAATGTCTTTATTGTAGGTATTTTCATAGAACTGAATGAGGAGAATGGCCAAGTCTTTGATTCCAACAAAGACTTGAGGAAGGCTAGGTAAAGTAGTCATACATGTGGAGACAGGAAGAGCAGCAGGCTTTGAAGGATTGAGGATGTAGAGTCCATCCTTGAGGCTATCAATCCCCCTTACCTTTCCACTGAAGAGGTCTTGAAAGAGACCAAAATAGGATAAAAAGCGACTACAAACTTTAATTCTCTTGTATATCTGGAAACAAACAACAAATTATACTGGAATTTAGGCATATAAAGCACATCATGTAGTGTTTGAGTACTGGATAAAGCATAAGATCATGTGTGTATAATATTAGTACTATGTCCATTTGGTAAATATACTGAAGTAGACTTGAAGGGAGGTATAGGCTTAGGACAAGACAATAGATCTAAGGAGGAAGCAATATGATTGGAGGCTCCAGTATCAGTAATCCACTAAACTTGGTCAGTAATTGAATTACCTACCATGTTGGCTACTTCTGTTGATCCTTTTTATTCCGCTAGTCCTTTCTCCTTGCTTAGCATTTTGATAATCTGTTGATATTTCTCAGGTGTGAAGATTGGAGTTATTGCATTAACCATACCATTTGTCATCCCATTTCCAGCATTTCCTACGTACTGAGTTTCTTCCATAACACTCACATTATGTGCTACTGATGTGTGATTGTCATAACCACCTCTCCTTTTGTTGTTGAATTTAAATCCCGGTGGATAGCCCACCAGTTTATAGCATGTGTCCCTTTGGTGTCCTTTCAATTTGCAGTAATCACATTGCATATTTGCATTCTTCCTGTACTTTACACTTGAGCTATTTGCTTAAACAAAAGAGCTACTCTCAGTGTTCACAGGTCCACTTCCCAAAACCCCAGTTTGTGCACCATAACCATTGCTTAGCCTCTGGCCTTCCTCTTGAATTATCATCGAGTATTCTTGGCCCAGAGAAGGCATTGGTTGCATCATCAATATTTGCCTTCTTTGTGGTGCATAGGTATCATTTAGACCCATTAAGAACTTCATAAGTTTCTGTTGACGAAGAAACTCAACAAAAAGTTTGGAATTTTTACAGTCACGTGGTTGAGGAATTATCGACTCAAACACATCCCAAAGATCATTCAAATTAGAAAAGTATACTGATACACTTGAAATCCCCTGCATCAAACAACTAATTTCCCTGTTCATATGTTAAACCTAAGTCGCATTTACCTTATTAAAACGATTCGTAAGTGCTTTCTATACTTTCTACGCATTTGAGGAATAGAGAATTCTTTTTCTAAGCTCCTTCACCACTGAGCTCTGGATCCAAGACTGAACTATTGAATTACAATGATCCCATTGGCATAATTGAAAGGCATTTTTTCATATTACTCTCTCGCACAAGCTCCATCAACAAATCCTAGTTTATTCTTCACTAGGAGTGACATTTCCATAGATCGTCTACAGTCTGAGTAGTTCTCAGTTCCAATCAACAATTGAGGAATGACTGACAATCGTGGTTTATTCGAGGGATGAACATACAGCGGATCATTGCAATCGATCTGTTGAGTGTTTGCATACAAAGATCTAGCTGTGATTTGAGGTGAATTGTTCGTCATATGTGCAGAAAACTAACAATTTTGATGAATTAGGAAAATTCAACCAGAGAGAAATCGAAGACCTAAAATGGGTAGAAGAGGGGAGAAATGAATGTACTCAATCAATGTAGAAGCTCGCTACTTGAATCGCCAAGAACCATGGCTTTAATACCATGTTAAATTCCATCCCTAGGTTCCGCCATTAGCGAGCTTACTGAAGATGAGAAAGAGGAGATGCGATTCTATAGAGAAGGCAGAGAAGAATTGTAGACAGATTGTAGACAGATGAAATCAAATCATCGATTAATTGTCTTGCTTGCAAAAGACACTGTGTATTTATCCTAACACTTACCAGATCTACTAACCGACTAACAGAAAAAATGAATAACTAACTACCTTCTAGAAGAGTATAATTTTTATACAAAAATGTACAACTATTTGTAGCTCTTAATTTCAACAATTATATCCCCAGTCCATTAGCATAACCACCCAAATCCATTCAAAGATATCAATTGAGTTAATTAATAATCCGCCCTTGTAAATATATCCAGAAGTCAACCAATGGCTATGATATCATGTAGAGAATAATAAAAAAATATATTATTTGAAGACCTTTTGCTAGACTAAGATCAATAACTAAAGTTGAAAGATTCAACTAAAGAAGAGAAAGCTATGAAAGGAGAAAAAAGATTTTGGAAAGGGGAACTTTGTTATTGAAGAAGACTTCTTGAATTGGCTTGGTTACAAATAGTCAAGACTTTCCCTATCTATACTTGTCAAAAAATATTTTTATACATTTTTCTAGAACCATATACAAGAAATACCTAGTAACTTTATCTACCAACAAAGTTCTAGAATATCTAGATAGGTCTTTTAAGATTAGAATTCAAGATATTACACGGTCATTTTATTTTTCACTTCATTCTCACCACTATGACAAAATCTCATTCATCGCTACAATAATTCCTTCGGAAACAACACGCGGCACCTAGACGCAAAATAACTACCTTATTTTGAATACAGCAAACACAAGTGCCGCCGGGGACTTAAAAAATACCCTTAGGCTTATGTGTGAAGCTTGGTTTTGTAAGGCTTACGCTTTAACCACCCAACTATGCGCCCTAGATAGGCCTAACGCTTATTGCTAAGCTCGCTCAACAGTTCTTTGCAAATCATGTGTCAAATTCCTTAATTCAATTAACAATAGTGTTACATATCTAATTAACAATTGAGAATATTGTGAGGGTGAATATCATTTGAATATCTCTTCTGAAAATAAATAGTCGAAATCTATATCTTCAATTGCTACTGGTCTTCATGCCTTAGTTCTATGTCTCTCAAAATTATCTAAATGTTATTATTTTGCTGAGTTATTTAAAAGTAATTTTTTATTTATTCATGAAAGAGTGACCTTTAAATTGTAATATAGATAGAATTTATTAATTATTTACTTTTAAGGATATAGCTTGACAATATATGTTTTTTTAAAAGATTGTGGTCTTTTAATTATTTGAAAGTTAAGATATGATAGTTGAGTTCTATCTCATAATAACTTTATTATACTTGCAAAACCATACTAGATAGTTTATTTTCTATAAGTTTCTTTGATCCTTTTAATTTTCTCAAACTTGTACTCCCTCTGTTTCAATTTATGTGAACCTCTTTGACTGGGCACGGAGTTTAAAAAAAAAATAAAGACTTTTGGAACTTGTGGTCCTAAACAAGTCCAAATAGGACCCAGAGTATTTCTGTGGTTATAAAAGCTTCTCATTAAGGGTAGAGTTGTAAGTTTAAGCTAAATTGTTACCAAATTTAGAAAGGATTCATTCTTTTTGGAACGGACCAAAAAGGAAATAGGTTCACATAAACTGGAACAGAGGGAGTAATATATTTTTTACTTTTTTGAGTTATTACGTTAATTTATTAATTAATAAATTAAAAGGGCATTCCGGTTCTCTAAGCTCACCCAGGGAAGGTCGGACCACAAGGACTATCGTACGCAGCCTTGCCCTTCATTTCTGCAAGAGGCTATTTCCACGACTCGATCCGTGACCTCCTAGTCACATGACAGCAACTTTACCAGTTACGCCAAGGTTCCTCTCCTTATTAATTAATTAATAAAAAAATTTAAAGATATGTGAGGCTTACGCCGCACATCTCAGGGCTTACGCCTCGCCTCGCTTAAGTAAAAAGCCCCACCTCATACACCCGCCTTTTCAAACACTAGTTCACTGTGATGGTTTATAAGCAAAAACCGACGTAAAACACTAGTCAGCCCTCATTGGTTGACATGAATTACATCTACGCGAAAGAACCCCAAAAAAGGCGATTTCCAATTCCGACGGATCACATTTGCAGTACTACTTACAGACACTAGATCAGCAATCACACACTCTAAACTAATCAAAAACATTAGCTGTTTCGAGGAGCATGGACGGGAATTACACAAACCAAAAGGGGACATGGACAGCGAGATACTGCGTCGTACTCCAACACTATAGCACAGTTAAAGGACGCAAAAATGCGCTTAATCGTTGGCAGAGGTGTCATTCGGTTCCAAAAGTCAACGGCTTTTCCGGGAACTATATGAAGACAATTTTAATGGAAGTTTCTTCTGCTTGAGGCCCTTATTCTTGCCTCTAAATATATCATTGTCAGAATCATCATCACTGTTATGATCATGCTTCTTGGTATGTTTCTTACTGGCCTCCCCGCATAACAAAATTCTCTTTTCTTCTCTAGGTTGTGCAATGTTAGACAGCTTCTTAGGCCTCCAAATGAAAAGAGACCTGAAATACAAAAATAATCAATAGTACATATTAAATGCTTACTAGAATGAGAAGCCAACAGAGGTATATATCACAAGGCAGGCCAAATACACAATCCCTCATATTCCCTTACAAATAGCTAGTGAAATCTAATCCAAATCAAAGTAAACTACGAAAACCGCAGTTAGATTGTTGAAGGGGCTCCTTTCAAATAACTGACAATGGGATGTCTATTGACAATAGAGCATGCAACATTGGAAGGATCAAAGTGATTGATGGGAAAAGTAATTGTTAGAAACCTTAAATTACTATGTTGGGTGCAAAGTATAGTAACAAGATGTGAGAATCTGAAAAGATATTCGGCAACACATCAACCTTGAATCATGTTCTGCGTTAACATGCTTCAAACAGTAGGAAGATTTCAATCAGGGAAAGGGTCAATTTATTGTTGTTTAACAGAGAACAGTCATAATATAATTCTATATAAGCAAAGTGGCATCCATATGCCACAAACAACCAAAACAGTACGTTCACTACTTGTAGTTATCACCGCATAAGACACATAAATATGATCATTGTTCAAACCTTGAACTACCAGATGCCAGAATATCTTCACGTGGATGTAGCTTGTTCACCGGACTAATAGTTGTTATATTTGGGTCCATAACCTCGGCAACCAACTGCCCAGTACTGATGTTGATAAAGTCAATGGGATGCAAAGCAGCTCCATCATAATTTTCACTAATGTAACGCCCGATGACAACAAGAGACTCTGATGAGTCCTGCACAAAGTAATATTCATTGATATAGACCTGCTCCACTTTTTCTACTTTGAAATCAATCAGGAATTAAATGGTGAATTCTGCAATTAACAAATTAGTTCTGCACATGCTTACCTTTGGATCCCATTCTGCTCGGAATGCTGTAAGATATCGGTTAAAATCGTGACTGTGAACAATTTCTCGGCTTGGATAATCAAGGTTGCCAAAGATTGAATCCCACACACGGATCCGATTATCGAGCGAAGTAGTAAGTATTTTGCTGCCACTTTGTGGAGAAAAATATGCAGAACTAACAACACGTTTATGTTCAAGATTGTAAAGAGAAGACCCAGCTTCCAAGCGGCGCATATCCCATATTCGAGCCTGTGGCATCAAAATATTTCACTTGATAAAAATTATCACCACTGATTTAACGCATATAAAGAAGGAATAGAGGTATTTTCTGCAACGAGCTCTTATGCTATTTACATGAATCAAAAATGAAAATCAAGTGCCAGATCATATAGACTGATCAAGTAAATGTAACTTACAAAGTGATCATTCCCACAGCTCAGAAATAGATCTGGTTGAAGAGGATTGCAGTTCAGACCAACAACTTTAGTTCCTTTCTTGTGAATCAAAGTAGGTTTGCTTATTATGTTATTGCTCCGCATATCAGCCCTGTACATGTGCACCAAATAAAAACAAATGCAACCAAATACAAAACCATAATGGGATCAAACACATAAAAAGATGGTGTAGGTAGTGGAATACAGTCAAAGCAAAGTCTGTTCTTGCTTTGACAAGCAATGTTGTAGGAAATGGAACAGAAGTTCCATCAATTAGAATCTTTCTTCCAAACAACCAACTCTCCTCAAACATTTCTACTTTTGATCCTCTAGGCTGAAATTTTACTTAGTTTTCCAGTAAATGTTTTCAAAGTTCAATTGCAAACAGTATGCAACTGAAAGATAACAAAATTACTTTTGCCAAAGGACTTGGAATTAAAAGATGAACCACACTGTGCAGATATTCCATGTAAACGATTCAACACTCAATAGAAGTCTATACATACGAATTCAGCTTAAAACTTGACGTGTCTTATAGCACCATTTATCTGTAGTTGTTGGTCATTTTAAATACTACTTAATTATTCTATAATATTCACATGAACTGAAAGGACGTGACCCTTGATAGGATGGTGTGGAGGTCGAGGATTAGGGTAGAAGATTAATAGGTAGTCGAGTATCTCCCTTTGTCTTACTCAGTTCATAGCATTAGTGTTAGTTTGTTATCCATTTATTCTTAGATTGCTATTACTACCGTTTATTTGCTACCTTGGTTTCGGTCCTCTTTTTATCTTATTGTTGTTTAGACTTGTTGCCATTGCTTCTTTTTATTTTTTCTTTAGCCGAGGGTTTTCCGGAAACAGCCTCTCTGCCTTCCAAGGTAGGGGTAAGGCTGCGTACATCTCACCCTCCCTAGACCCCCACTTGTGGGATTTCACCGGGTTTTTTGTTGTTGTTGTCACATGAACTGAAAATAACTCAGTTCAGAAAGCAGCATTCAGCAAAAAGAAGTGCGGCATTATCATCTTTACCCCATAAGAAAACCTTATCTTTTTATCCAATTACCCGTTCATCCCCAGAACCCCCACCCTCCCACCAAACCCCCCCCCCCCCACCCACCCCAAAAAAAAATCCTTTCCGCCTCAAATATAGTAAAAGAATCAGGATTAACATAATTTTTAAGGCTACAGCCCAAATGATAATCACACTGCACAAAAGTCTGCTTGAATTACTGTGACAGCTAACCTAATGAAAATTATTTTTTCAAAGGACAA